ACTATCCTAAGCAGTTTGGTATTGAAAATCAGCAAAATCGGTTGACAACGTAAAAAGTTATGAGTAAAAAATCGAAAAAAATTACGTTTTTTCATAATTCTTTTGAAGTTTTCTCAGAAACTACCAAAAATATTTCGATGAATTTTGTCACACATTATTTTTTCAGGGCATTGATCAATTATGTTCAAAATCTTTACAATCGATCTAATATTTTCCATAGCACCCATACAAAGGTATATATTCCCACATATTTTATTGATGAATAAAGTTATTGTGATAAAATTCGAGTTAAATATGTTTTGTGTACATACAAATCATTCTACCGAATTTTTTACGGATATGGTCATAGCTTCCATATAAGACCCACTTTCGAAAATCATTTAAGAGCGCATATTTCATTGTCAAATAAAGATATCTTGATAAAATTCGACACAAATATGTTTAGTCTAAATATGAATCACTCTACGAAATTTTTTCAGGATAGGTCCATAATTGGTCATAGCTCCCATATAAAGTCCACTTCCGAAAATCACTTAAACGCATATATTTCATTAAATTCTAAAACTATAAGGATAATTCGACACAAATATGTTTTGTGTACATATAAATCATTCTACCACTTTTTTCCCGGATAGGTCCATTATTGGTCATAGCTCCCATATAAGGTCCACTTCCATATTTAATTGTCAAATAAAGTTATGTTGATAAAATTCGACACAAATATGTTTTGTCTTTATATGAATCACTCTACGAAATTTTTTCCAGATAGGCTTCCATATAAGGTCTACTTAGAAAAATCACTTAAACGCATATATTTCTTTGAATAAAAAAGCTATCGGGATAAAGTACGACTTGAATATGTGTTGTGAGCATATAAATCATTCTACCAAATTTTTTCTGGATTGGTCCATATATGGTAATAGCTTCTATATAAGGTCCACTTAAAAAAATCACTTAAACGCACATATTTCATTATCAAATAAAGATATCTTGATAAAATTCGACACAAATATGTTTTGTGTAAGGTCATAGCTCCTATACACATAAATTCCACTACCGAAAATCACCTAAATGCACATATTTCATTAATTAATAAATCATTATACGAAATTTTTTCCTTATGGGTCGATAATTGGTCATACCTCCCGTATAGGGACCATTTCCGAAAATTACTCAAATGCACATTGACAATCAAAGTTATCGAGAGATATATAAATCATTCTACGAAATTTTTTCCCGGATCGGTCCATAGGTTGTCTTAGCTCCCATATAAGGTATACTTCTGAAAATCACTTAATACCAATTAATTCGTAATTAAATGATTATATCCGGATAAAATTCAAAATGAGTGTGTTCTGTGTACAGATAAATCATGATATTAAAATGTTTTCTAACTGGCCTATTAACACATTTTTCTCGACCTAATTAAAATTAGTTTGACATATGCATAAATGTTAGTACCCTCAATACGGGAAATTGCCAAGTTATCTAAAAATTAGATAGTTAAATGGGTTTTAATACAAAGTAGCATGCTGGTGGAGGGTATTTAAGATTCGGCATAGCCGAATATATTACTCTAACTTGTTTTTCTAATAATAACGCATTTTACCTTAATTCCGAAATATTTTAACAATTTGTTACCAAAAGAAGTGGTTTTCTGAAAGAGGGGTAAAGGGGCAAAGTTAAATATGGTCCTATCCGGAGCGATTGGTAGAGCGATTTACGATGACATAAAAATTATTTATGCAGAATATCATGGTGATACTAGTGTTTAAAAGAGAATTTTCACCTTCAAGTTATTTTCTGAAGGTGATTTTGTAGGTTTAAATGAGACCCGATCATTAGGAACATTTTAAGTATCATTTAGACTTATATACAACTAAGATTTCCAGATTTTTGTTGAGATTCTGTGCCCTATTCGAGAGGCAGGGTTGTATGGGGCTAGGCGAAATAATGGACCGAATTCAGCTATTGCGACCTATAGTGTGGGCACAAGACAGACAGAGAGACGGACAAAGCTTAATCGATTCAGAAAGTGATTCTTAGCCGATGGTTATACTTTAAGGTGGGCGTAGGACCAATATCAGCACAAGCGCATAATACCCTCCCCACTTTAATGGTGTAGGGTATAATTATTGATGAAACAACTGATTGTAGCACGGTTCCATAGAACGAATGTATATAACGCTTAAACAGAACCAGTTCCTAAGTGGTCTAAGCGCCACAAAATCAATCTGCAAATATCATAAAGAAGTTTGGATTGAGGAGATGTGGTTTTATTACAAATAATATATGGCAATTGTAATACAAAATGTATGTTTAGGGTCATTGATTCCTTTGACATACCTTTCAAATGCTTTAAAACTTATTTGAAAGTTGCAGTAGGTTCTGAAACGAATACCTTTATTTAGAAGGGTAGAAACTTCAACTTTTAAATTTTAAAAACGGAAGTATAAAATATGAAAAAATTAAAAAAAAATACAACACATGTACCAAAAAAAAAAAAGTTTAAACACATGTAGATAACTACTCTTAGATAAAAAACAAGTTAGAGTGCTATATTCGGCTGAGCCGAATCTTAAATACCCTCCACCAGCTACTTTTATAATAATACTTTTCTAATTGATCAAATATTTGTAGAAATAAGTTTTCTCATGTCTTAAATAGAAAAAATCCCAAGATTTATTTAATTTTGTAATAAGTTATGAGTATTTTTGTGATTTTCTGAAGGGAAACATGTATAGGACCGACCGGACCCATGTTATGAACCGATGGTGAAAAAATCTTGAAAAATAATTTTTGTATACAAAACTAATATTTGTGCCAAATTTTGTATCAATAGCTTTATTTGGTAATGAGTAATGTGAGTTTAAGAGATTTTCGTAAAAGGACCTTGTATGTGAGCTATGACCAATTATGTATATAAAGACAAAATTTCAAAATTCTGTATCTATATCATTATTTGGTAATGAATATTGTGCATTTAAGTTATTTTCTGGAGGGGACCTAGTATGAGAGCTATGACCAAATATGGACCGATTGCAAAACAATTTTATAGTGTAATTTATGTATATAAGAGCAATATTTGTGCTAAATATTTATATATCAATATTTTGTAATGAGTTATGTGCGTTTAAGTGATTTTCGGGAGGGGACCTTGTATGGGAGCTATGACCAATTATGGACCGATCCGAAAAAAAACTTCCATAATAATATTTCTGTATATGTGAACAATACTTTTACCAAATTTTATATGGATATCTTAATTTAGTAATGAGTTATGTGCGTTTAAGTGATTTTCGGGAGGGGACCTTGTATGGGAGCTATGACCAATTATGGACCGATCGGAAAAAAATTCCATAGTAATATTTCTGTATGTGAGAGCAATACTTGTACCAAACTTTATATGGATATTTTAATATAGTAATGAGTTATGTGTGTTTAAGTGATTTTTGGGATTGGACCTTGTACGGAGCTATGACCAATTATGGACCGATCGGAAAAAAATTTCATAGTAATATTTATATATGTGAGAGCAAAACATGTACCAAATTTTTTATGGATATTTTAATTAAGTAATGAGTTATGTGTGTTTAAGTGATTTTCGGGAAGGGACCTTGTATGGGAGCTATGACCAATTATGGACCGATCGGAAAAAAATTTCATAGTAATATTTCTGTGCATATGAGCAATACTTATTCCAAATTTTATATGGATATCTTGATTTAGTAATGAGTTATGTGCGTTTAAGTGATTTTCGCGAGGGGACCTTATATGGGAGCTATGACAAATTATGGACCGATCGGAAAAAAACTTTCATAATAATATTTCTGTGCCTATGAGTAATACTTATTCCAAATTTTATATGGATATCTTAATTTAGTAATGAGTTATGCACGTTTAAGTGATTTTCGGGAAGGGTCCTTGTATGGGAGCTATGACCAATTATGGACCGATCGGAAAAAAATTTCATAGTAATATTTATATATGTAAGAGCAAAACATGTGTAAAATTTTATATGGATATTTAAATTTAGTAATGAGTTATGTGCGTTTAAGTGATTTTCGGGAGGGGACCTTGTATGGGAGCTATGACCAATTATGGACCGATCGGAAAAAAACTTTCATAATAATATTTCTGTGCATATGAGTAATACTTATTCCAAATTTTATATGGATATCTTAATTTAGTAATGAGTTATGCGCGTTTAAGGGAGCTATGACCAATTATGGACCGATCGGAAAAAACTTTCACAGTAATATTTCTGTGCACATGAGCAATACTTATTCCAAATTTTATATGGTTATATAGTTTTTGGGGAAATTTCATCAGAATGTGTAAAAAATGCTTATTTTTTTCGAGGTTGTTTTAAATTTTGATTCATAACTTTTCCCGATGTGAACCGATTTTGCTCATTTTCAATACCAAACTGTACCGGATAAAAATGAATGTTTTGGGTGAATTTGGTTAAATTATATTGCTTTGTTTTAACGTGAGCGTGTTTTACACAGACAGACAGACAGACAGACGGACGGACGGACGGACGGACGGACGGACGGACAGACGGACATAGCTAAATCGACTCAGAATTTCATAAGGACCCAGAATATATATACTTTGTTGGGTCTCAGATGAATATTTCTTGGTGTTACACACGGAATGACAAAGTTATATATACCCTCTATCACCACTGATGGTGGTGGAGGGTATAATAAACTAAGTAAATAAACAAAAATATATTTAAATAAATAAACCATAAATATATACAAAAAAACTACTACTACCTTTTTTACAACTTGACAACTTATTATTATTAATTAGATACGATTATTAGAGAAGAGTTTCAATTTGAGAACATGGAGAAGAAATTTGTATTCATTTCTGATAAAAAAAGATGTTTTCATAAGAACATTGCAAAGTGTATTTGTTATTTATTGTTAATAAGAGAAACAACAAAATGTTTGAGAATTTGATAAAACTGACAGCTTAAAACAAATCTTATCTTAGTTTAAAACAAAACGCGCTACTAGAAACATCTAAACGAAAAAAAAGAAACAAAACCTTAATTTAAAACCCGGCTTAAACTTATAAACAAAATAACAACAACAATATATTACCAAATTTTTTCTCATTATACAAATACTGGAGTAATTATGGCAAATAAACAAAAATTAATTTTTATACAATTTACGCTCATCTTTAGTATTTTTATAATAAAAATACAAGCTTTTGCGTATGAAGGTGCGTGTGTGTGTGAAAGAGAAAGATATATACATAATAAGAGAGTGTTAAGTGAATAGAAAAAAAAAATAATTAAAATAAATAAACAATAACTTGTAAAATTCTTAACAACAACAACATTATAATAAAGATGACTAGTTGTTATTTATTGTTTAAACAATTTCAACATTTTGTAATAGTAAATATTTCTAATTATAGCTCCTCCAAGTTGCTATAATCCCAATGGTCGTAGCGGTTTGTGTGTTTCCATCTATCAGTGTCCATCGCTTTTAAACGCTATAAAAACTCATGAACAGACAGCTTTCGCATTTGCCCGCAAATCCGAATGCCAGGCAAACGGTCAAGGCCGCCGACCGTACGTTTGTTGTACTTCTGACACCGGTTTTGCCACACGCAACAATTTAAATGGTGATCGTATTATTTTTCCCCCCGATTCGGATTATGAAGATGATCAGACGTCACGTTATGTAGTGGCGTCAACAACAACAGCTTATAGGGAAAAGGAGTTTATACAAAGAGAGAATTCACCATTGTTTCCGAAACCTCCTGTTTGTGGTCCCATTAATATTGGCAATAAAATCTATGGCGGCGAGGAAACAGAACTGGGAGAGTTTCCTTGGTTGGCCAATTTGGAGTATAAGAAGTGTAAGTATAGGATGAAGGGAGTGTAGTTTTGAAAGTATATTTATGAAAGTGAGGTTCAGAGTACAGTTTCTAAATAGTGGGATTTACTACTAATTTTTTATAATTTATACTTTCTTTGTAATTTAATATGTAATTTAAAATTACTTGTAATAATTACATCAATAGCAACAACCCAATAAGCATAACGTTAATTATTCAAACAATTTACAGATGAGCGAATGTTTAGACACCAAAGCCTCTGCCATTCGTTATTTTCACATTTTGTTGGCCTGTGTTATTACATAGCTTTTAAATATTAATATTTATAATAACGTTTAAATGTTCATAATTGTTAATTTGACAACAAACCTCTGTGCCTATTGGGATATTTTTTAAAATGTTAGTTTTGTTATACAATTTACAGCAATCAAACTTTAAATACACACATCCGGTTTGAAATTATATATGGGGAAAAGGGTGTTATATAAACGACTAGCTATACCCAGTATGCTTTGCTACCCTAAAGGGAATATGTATAAATAAATGCCAGATTTATTATATGTTACATATGCAAACAAGCAAATTATTGCAAGTTCACCAGTTTCTATCTATCGCCAATTACTATCTATCTATAAAAAATTTGAATAATATAAGAGTTTCCAAGATGCACGAAATTTTGTATTTAATTCATATATGTTGTGCCAAGCCACCCATTGAAAGTCCGCCCGTTATGTTCTAAATGTTCACATGAGTTCTCCACGTAAAATTTGAAGATTCTAGCTCTAATAGTTTCTCAGATATACAAATTTTTCTATTTGATTCATGTGGGGGCTTCAAGACCCCCCCGATGAAAGTCCGCTTTTTTTTCCTCCAAAATGTTCAGATGAATATTTAAGTTCTTCGTGCGAAATTTGAAGAATTTAGTTCCATTAGTTTTCCAGATAAACGAATTTTTGTCTTTAATTAATATGGGAGGTGCCGCTCCCCTCATGGGTAGTCCGCCAATTTATTACCCAAAATGGATGTTAAAGTTTTTCGTGCAAAATTTGAAGATTCTAACTGTAATAGTTTCCAAGATAAACGTATTTTTGTATTTAATTTATATGGGAGGTGCCACGCCCCCTAATGATAGTCCGCCAACTTTTTGTCCTAAATAATTATATTGACACTAAAGTTGCTCTGACAAAATTTGAGGACTCTAACTGTTGTATTATCTAAAATATACGGATTTAATATTTTCTTAATATAGGCGTGGCTCCTCGCCCACTTGGAATTTCAAAATAAAAAGTAGTCTATTACCTATTCCAGACATACAGGAATACGCTGTGAAAATTTGAATAAAATCGGTTCAGCCGCTTAGTAGTCTATAACGTTCAAACATACAAACATATAAACATACAAACAAACACACATTCATTTTTATATATATAGATTCTAGTTATAATTTAATCAGTAACATTAACACATATAGGATCTTCATATAAGCTTTGCAAAATGTAAATTCGAATTTTCTCTTTAGCAAATGCACTCGTAAAAATTCACTTGTATAACTTTACGTTTGCGCGCAAAATTTTTATTGTGTATTTGATGAATTAACCATTTTACATACTCGTTTAACAATGTTTATTTTAAAACATGTTTAAAGAATTTGGTTTTTTTAAATTGTTTCATTTACCTATAAGCACAGAATTTCAAAAAGGGGTTTATGAGTCACGCACTTGCAAAAATGGGTAACTTAAACATTGAAATAAGTAGCTTTTAAGGTACCTTCAGATTTATCAAATATTTGACAAATATGACGTGGCACCTAAAAAATTGGCAATATGATTAATTTTGAAGTTATAACTTTTTAACGGTCTCAAATAATATTGATATTATTTGTTATAGCAGAAATTATGTAAGATCCAGAAAACATTTACAAAAAATATTTGTTACATATGATTGAGCACCGCTAAATCCGAATCTGGTCTGAGAATTTTTCCATCACAACAGGTTTTTTAAGGTATCGTGTTCTAAACACTGAGAAAACCCTATTTTCTGTACAGATCCTCATAAAATTAGGTCAACAGATTTTGGTCCTTATAAAACTTGTTCATGTCGAATTTATTTATCTATTTTATGCAACATTAACAATTTGTTTGCAGTATAGATATTATAATTGGCATTATTACTGTATGTCAGATATTAAACTGAAAATCCACACATGTAGTTGAAAGCAGTGTTGCCAATATTTTCTCACCATTTCATGTTAAATCATGTCACAAAACCCGCTAGAAACTGTCATACAGGCTAGACTATAGAGCTGACTAGAGACTAGACAGTAAACTAGACTATAGAGTCGACTGTAGACTAGACTATAGACTAGACTATAGAGTAGACTGTAGACTAGACTATAAACTAGACTATAGACTAGCTTATAGACTAGACTATACACTATACTATAGACTACATTATATACTAGATTATAGACTATACTATAGACTAGACTATAGAATAGCCTATAGACTGGACTATAGACTAGATTATAGACTAGACTATAGACTAGACTATAGACTAGACTATAGACTAGACTATAGACTAAACTATAGACTAGACTATAGACTAGACTATAGACTAGGCTATAGGACTAGACTATAGACTAGACTATAGACTAGACTATAGACTAGACTATAGACTAGACTATAGACTAGACTATAGACTAGACTATAGACTAGACTATAGACTAGACTATAGACTAGACTATAGACTAGACTATAGACTAGACTATAGACTAGACTATAGACTAGACTATAGACTAGACTATAGACTAGACTATAGACTAGACTATAGACTAGACTATAGACTAGACTATAGACTAGACTATAGACTAGACTATAGACTAGACTATAGACTAGACTATAGACTAGACTATAGACTAGACTATAGACTAGACTATAGACTAGACTATAGACTAGACTATAGACTAGGACTATAGACTAGACTATAAGACTTTTTTGCGCTTTTTTCCCGCAATTGCCATTTCGAAAAAGTCAAGGTTGCAAGTTATAAGGACAACATTTTCTATTGCCCTTAGAATTCTTAAATTACTTTAGTTGTATGCAACACGTCAATATTTGATCACTCATTGAAGCAGAAGAAGCATAAACAGCACATACACAAATGTTGATCAAAATTTTGACGTGTGGCCGTACAGTTTTAGGTCTACTATTCTCAACATCATAAGCGGTGTACGAACATGTCAGCTGAACTAAATGTTGACTTATCAAATATAGGTTAAGAATGGGGTTTTAGTTTTGACGTTTATAACAACAAAATCATTCGCACATCGAAAATAATAGACATTATTAAAAATCGACAAAATTAAATGTAAAGCATTAGTATGACACATTTTTTTAGTAAAGAAGTGATATTTTAATGCATGCACTGCTTTGACACGAAAATGCATAATGTGAACCTCTAGCTGTAGTTACCAACCTTCAAACATCGATGTATTAATTTCCATTTACATATAAATGTATATATAACTGATTCTTTAATATTTTAAACTTTTAGTGAATGATGACTTAGTATCCGTCTGTGCCGGCAATGTAATAAATCAAAGATATCTTCTAACTGCAGCTCATTGTGTGAAAGGAGAAATTGAAGTAAAAATTGGAAAATTGTAAGTATTAAATTTTGCACAAACAGATTAATGCTATTCTGAATTTAGATAAGTCAAACTAGAAACTACATAAATTAATTCCTAATTATAACTATTCATTGCTTCCTCGCAGTGATCAAAACGATTGGTCAATGACTTTTAAAGCTTTATTATTTTTGTGAGGATTAATATATAGTTGTTGAATTGTTTGACAAATATAACTTGAATACAAACAATAATTTTTATAAAATTTATATCTAATGCTATTAATTTTTTTTTCAGAGTCTCAGTACGTGTGGGTGATCACAACACCCAAACACCGGTTGATTGCAATAATTCTGGCTGTTTAGATGACTTTCAGCGCTTGGGCATTGAAAGGATTATAGTGCATGCAGATTATGGTTCCTACAATGGTTATCACAATTACAATGATATAGCTCTCATAAGAGCGGATCGTAATATTCAATATTCCAATTCAGTAGCACCGATTTGTTTACCAAATGTGGTACCACAAACGCCAAAATTAAGATCGGGCTTAAAGTTATCGGTGGCTGGTTGGGGTCATACGGGAACCGGTAAGTCATAATTTTTAAAAATCTCATATATATTAAAGGAAAGTAATCAATATTCCCTCTATTTGCAGCCAGATACACTGCCGAAAAACGAAAAGTAGAATTGCCCTATGTAGAGAATCAGGTGTGTCCCATTAAGGTGGCACCTGAACAATTGTGTGCGGGAGGTGAATATAAAAAGGATAGTTGTACTGGTGATTCCGGTGGCGGTTTAGTACGTTTGGCCGGTGACGCATGGGTTGTGGAGGGTATTGTATCGTATGGGCGTGGTTGCGGTTTAGAGCGACCTGGTGTTTATACTCGCGTTAGCAGTTATATTACCTGGATACAAGCAAATGTTCAACCATAACATATTTTCGCTTATTTTTTTTATATTAGTATTTTATTAATCTATATGATCACTGTGATATATTTTATTTATAGTTATTTGTAAATTTAAAACAAATTTAATTACTTTTTTTTTGCAAAAACTTTCCATTTCAAATATGTTTGTTTTTTGCGGTTAACAAATGTTTTTATTTAGTTAGAATTATTTATTATATGAATATAAAAAATATGTTAATGTTTATTTAAATAATTATTTGTACAAATGAAATCCATTAATTTTATTTTAAGTACAATTTTGTGCGACTTAAAATCGTTAAAGGATTTTGTGTCGTCTCAAAAACATTAATCATTAATTTAATTAGTTTGGTTATCTAAATGAAATTAATATTGTAAATTACCTTTTTTTATTGTGTGTATTTTGAAATTAACTAAAATTTTAACAAAAAACAAATACAGTTATTATTTAAACTTTACTGCATTCTTTTTACTTAGTTTCATAAGAAGTAGATGGGAAATATGGAAAAACTCGGCTCGTTCTACAGTTAAATCAAAAAAAAAACCCTAAAAATTTTTACATTCTTACATGTTTCGTCAATTATTATAGGGTCAACATTCCTTCTATAGAATTAAACTATATTTAATTCTTGTATTTTATAAATTGTAATTAATATTTGTTCTATTAATTACATAGTCCAATAAAATTAAAAAAAAAAATCAAAACCCAAAGACCAAAGTATACTTTTCTAAAGGACTGAGCAGCGTTAAGTACGAACCTCGAAGAAAGAAGAATCTGCGTATAAAAGAGTTTAAATCTTTATTTTAAAGTAATTAGGTTGGATTTTCCTAAGAGCGTTCTTTAAAGGTAAAACTTCCTAAACTCTATTTTCTAAGTACTTAGCTTTTAATTGGTCTTGTAATTTGCGACCGATAATATTAAGGTTTCATCTGTGGTCGCATATTACGCGAGTTTTAGGCAATACTGGCTTCCAATGATCATAGTAAAACTATATATTGGCGTCTTAGATATTCGGATTTGGCCTTGTTGTTGTAACTGCTGAAACTATACAATTTTAATGCAGGGGTCCTTTTTGAGGTCTAAACCTGAAAATTGAGCCGTTACTACTGGATTAGTCCATAAATTCATTGGTCTAAGAGAAGTAAGGAGGGATATGCAGTTGTTTAAGGACGTATTAAGGACGTATATTTTTCCATGTATTGCGCAGGTCATTATATCCTACACCACTACAGTGGGGAGGGTATTATGAGTTTGGGCTGATGTTTGTATTGTTTTGACTTACATCCGTTTCTGGCCTCTAAGCGGAATGGACTATGAGCGAAAAGTTCTGTAGAAAGTTGTTTTATTTTAGTAAAAATTTAATCCATATTTCCAAAAGAATTTGGATGTGTAATTCTGAAACAACAGAGAAAAAGTACATGAGTGAGGCATGGAAAAATCAGTACTTTAAAACTTTTTATTATCGAACTATACAGCGGTACCCGCACGACTTCTTCGGAACTTTTTCTTATTAACCTTAAATTTAGTTTACATAGTAGTCAACACACCAGTCTATGGTCTAGTCTAGTCAGATCATAGTAAAACTATATATTCGCGTCATAGATATTCGGATTTGGCCTTGTTGTTGTAACTGCTGGAACTATACAATTTTAATGCAGAGGTCCTTCCTTGAGGTTTAAACCTGGAAACAGAGCTGTTTTTACTGGATTAGTCCATAAACCCAATAGACTAATTAAAGTAGGGAGGGATAGGCAGTTGCTAGACATATATTAAGGACGTACATATATTGTTTGTAACTGATGAAGTTATATGATTTTAATGCAGGGTTCCTGCTTTGAAGCCCAATTAGGGACGATAGTAGGTGTTGAACTATACCGTGGTAGTCGCACGACTTTTTCGGAACTTTTTCTAACTTATTAACTTTTGATTTTTTAGTTAATACACATATTAGTCAATACACCAGCCTGTAGTACAGTCTATGGTGTAGTCTATAGTTTAGTCCAAATTCTTGTGCTGAAGAACTGAGGAGGCTCTGATAGGATCAACAAGGCACATCGGTGCTGGGCGATATGTAGGAAAATGAAATGGGGTCTTAGTCCTACTATATAATCTGGTAGACTGCTTTGGACAAAAAGTGGTTCCATGGGCACTACTTCAACCAAAGCTCTGGAAACGTTGCTGGATATTCCACCCATTGAAACATATTTTAGATATGAAGCGGCGCTTACAGCCGAACGTCTCTTTACTTAAGGCGAACTATACACAATCATCGGACGTGTCTGATCGCATACCAGACACAGAATATGTTGGAAACTTTGAAAAGCTGATTCCAGATAGAATGTCTTGGTCAAGCGGAAAAATAGAGCAAATACCAGTAGGAATCCGTTATTACACGGATGGCTCTAAATTGGGGTATAAAGTGGGCCTGGGTTCCTATATTTAAGACCCAGAAACAGAAATATACCACCGTATACAATCATCGGACGTGTATGATCGTTACCAGACACAGAATATGTCGGAAACTTGAAACGCTGATCCCAGATAGAATGTCTTGATCAAGCGGAACACTAGAGCAAACACCAGTAGAAATTCGTTGTTACATGGATGGCTCTAAATTGGGGTATAAAGTGGGCCTGGGGTCCTATATTTAAGACCCATAATCATAACACAAGCTTCCAGGCAGAAGTCCGAGCAATAACGGAATGTGTAAATTGGATTAGAATAAATATGGCGCCCATAGCCCTTAATATTTCGATTTCAGGTGATATAATTAAAGCTAAGACCATATTGGATTGTAAGAAAGCTTTAACTGAATACTCTCCCAGAGGTAAGGTTTACATCATATGGATACCAGTCCACTCGGAATTAGTCTTCAACGAAAGGGCGAATGTAATAGCTTTAAAGGGAGGTAGTTAACCTGACGGACGCAAAATCATTCGACGCAACAAAAGCTGAATTAAAAATATGGGTGAGAGAATCCCATAATGCCTCTTGGAATAATGAAACGGTGGGTAGAACCACAAAGATCCTATGGGGTGACCCTGATGATAACAAGACGAGAAATCTCCTCAAAATGAGTAAGTCTGAAGTTAGTATGATGGTACGTACTCTGAGTGGACACACAGGATTACGAGCACATCTATACAAAATGGCCGTGCGGATTCAGACGAGTGTAGAGCATGTGGGGAGGACAGTGAAACTCTGGAGCACTTTCTTTGCCACTGTCAAGCATTCGTCGAAGTTCGATCCAAGTATCTTGGAAGAGATGTTATTCCGGAAATAACATTCCTGACTAACACTGATTGAAAAATTCTTAGGAATTACGTCCAGTAAACTGACTTTCTGAACATTGAAAAATAATATACTCAGTGAACATTTTTTTTCGCACAACAGTCCCGATAGTGGCCTAGGTGTATTTCTTCGGATTTGATGTACTATACATCCTCCTATAAACCTAACCTAATCTATAGCGTAGTCTATAAACTGGCATACAGCCTAGTCTTTAGTCTAGTCTATATAGTCCAGTCTACAGTCTGTTCTACATAAGTTCTAGTCCATGTTCTAATATATGGTCTAGTCTATATTCCAGTCTATGGTCTAGTATTTTGTATAGCATATAGTCTAGTCTATATTTAGTCTAGTATATAGTTACTTATATACTCTAGTTTATAATATAGTCTGTGTTCTAGTCTATGAATAATAGGCTATATGAATTTACAAGCAATGTGATATTACTCCTAAAAATGGTAGAAAAAAACCTAAACTGGAACTATTGTTTGGCAGCAGAAAAACCAGATTGTTTTTAGTTTTTGTGACTGACTGTTACACCTGAGATTCTCTCCTCTCAATCATCTGGGGCTTTAAGGAACACTATTATGATTATGTCTACATGGTTTCAGACTAGACTTTACTCTATAGTTAAGTCGATAGTCTATATATTAGTCTACAGTGTAGTGTATGGTCTAGTTTAAAGTGTATTCAAAGTATTATTTAATGTTATATTTCGCGCGGTCAGAAGATCAAAAACCGGTTTATGTAATATTGGAAAATGTCTCCAAAACAATCAGTAATTCGACTCAAAAAAAATGTTCAAAAATGAGTCGGAACTAATCAAAAATAGGCTCATAAAAGAGTCTTTTGAGTCGCGGATAGGGTACCCGATAAAAGTATTATTTATGATCAGAAAATGGGCATGCGGAATGTAATAAAAAATTGCTAAAAATTTCAGCTGAGAACGAACTCTAAAAATGTACCAGTTATCAGAACAATATTATTTCCAATAACTATTTGGCTTCAATTTTAATTACGTGCCAAAATGCAAATAATTCACTTAGCATTCTTTCCTCTTACAAACTATCTGATCTAATTTGAAAACTTAATTAATTATGTTGTTTCTAAGACATTGTCTTAAGAATCAAATCAAATAAAATCAAACAAAAAAGTTCTAAATTGAAAAGTAATTAATCATTAGTTTTTGGGAAAAACAATTAAACAATTAAGTCCGTTACTAATAAACGTTAAAATGGAAATAAATTAAAAATATTACGTTAATAATAAACTTCATGCATATAAATCAATAATTTATTATTCTAAAAATAATATGTATCCGCAAAATGTATAACAATCAAAACATGTTGCCGCCTGCATAGACATGTTTAAGAAGGAAAGGTACATACTTTTAGTTACAGTGGAGTGGCTGATAGTGACGTATTCTTAAGTATTAGAAAACGATTTGTAAACAATAGAAAGTAAAGCTCCGCTTTGAAAATAAGTTAGAATTTTAATATTATAAAGCCTTTTAAGGAAACCACAAAGAAACCAGAATTTATGATTTTCTGTTATTAACATAAACAACAATCAAATAATTTTTATAAATTCTAATTTAATTCTAAAGAAATTCTCACAAAATCCAGTTTATTTTAGAGAAAAACATGTCTATGACTAAGACACAACCACGGAAACAGCAACAACAGCGACAGCAGCATCATATGTAACAAAATGCCTCAAGCGCCGAGGTATTCCCCAATTATTGGAATAAATGAATGAATGACTGAACAATTTTACTCTCCAGCATTAAATTCTAAACTTGATCAAACGACAGCAACAAAGTAGCTTAAGCATTTATCACATTAAAGCGGAAAGTTTTGTTCGGTGAAAAAATTTAACCAAAACTAATAATTTATATTCATAAAAAGAGTTACTAATATTTAATTTGTTATTCTTTTATTTTTGGTTTTTTTTCGAAAATTTTTTAAAACGTCATTGATTTGTGCGATCAACAAACTGGTGTTTTGTTTGAACAAAAAACTCAAAGTTCGCTGAACTTTCGTAAACCGCATACACGGAAAATTTATTGTTAGAAAAGCAACTGGTACGGCAATATGACCCTGAATTAGTATGACATATTTTTTTTTCAATTTGAATTCCTAAGATACACAATAGATTTAC